TAAAGGAATTTGTTGAAATCATTGACTGCATTGGCCCATTTGTTGCATTAAGTTAATGATAATCTGTCTAAAAATACTCTGTCAGCTCAAGTTGGCAGTCATTTTTTTTCCTGCATTGTAAGCTATGAAACATATCGTAACTTTATTATTTTGGCCAAAGTATATTTTTAGTGGGAACTTTCAGTTGATTTTCTGCTGGTCTTCTCTATCTTGAGGCTGAGCAGCAAATGTTTTGAAATAAAACAAAGAACTGCAGATGTTGGAGATCCGAAAACAAAACCAAAAATTGTCAGCAAAAGTCAGCAGGTCTGGCAGTATTTGAAGGAAGAAAGCGGGGTTAAAATTTTGAGTCCATTGACTCTTCAGGACTGATAGCAGCTAGGACATAGTAGTATTTGTGCTGAAGGCAAGGTGGGGGAGAGTAGGGAGAGGGTGAGTGGATAGATGAAGTTGGAGCCCAGAGAGAGAAATGTGAAAGGGGTAGATAAATGAGGGAATTATGGATAGTAGGTCAGGACAGAAGACAAGCTGAAGAAATGATGGTGAGATCTGAGTGTAGCAGAGAATGGGTAGTCTGTGCTGAAAGCAAATCATGTACTGCAATAATAAACCTGAGAGTGGGTGAGAATGGATTGGCTGTGCTAAGAGCAACCCATGTAATAACCAGAACAAAAAGGAGGCGATGGCCTCATAGTATTATCGCTGGGCTATTAATCCAGAGACGCAGATAACATTCTGGAGACCTGGGTTTGAATCCCACCATGGCAGATGGTGGAATTTGAATTCAATAAAATATCTGGAATTAAGAATCTAATGTCAATTGTCAGAAAAACCCATCTTGTTCACTCATGTCCATTAGGGAAGGAAACTGCTATCCTTACCTGGCCTGGCCTACATGTGACTCCAGACCCACAGCAATGTGGTTGACACCTGAACTGGCTGCTAGGCAATTAAGTATGGGCAATAAATGCTGCTTGGCCAGCGACGCCCTCAACCTGTGAATGTATAAAGAAAGAAAAACAGAAATTGCTGGAAAATCTCAGCAAGTCTGGCAACATCTGTGGAAAGAAATCAGAGTTAACCTTTTGGGCTGAATGACCCTCGCTCAGAACTTGGAGCGCTCAAGCCCTAAAGTTGTTGAACTCTATTGAGTCCAGAAGGATGCAGGGTCCCCAGGTAGAAATTGAGATGTTGTTCTTCCAGCTTGTACTGAGATTCGCTGCAGTATTACAGCAAGCCTGAGACACAGATGTCAGCCAGAGAACAGGGTGGTGTGTTAAAGTGGAAGGCAACTGGAAGCTCAGGGTCTTTTTTGTGGACAGAATGTAGGTGTTCTGCAAAGCGGTCACCCAGTCTGTGCTTCGTGTACCCCTAATGTAGAGGAGATCGCATTGTGAACAGTGAATACAATAGACTAGATTGTGGGAAGCGCAGGTAAATTGCTGCGTCACCTGGAAGGTATGTTTGGGCTCTTGGATGGTGAGGAGGGAGGAGTTGTTACACCTTCTGCGGCAGCAGGGGAAGGTGCCATGAGGCTGTTGGGGGGTGTTGGGAGTGAAGGAAGAGTGGATCAGGGTGTCCTGGAGGGAATGGTCCCTGTAGAAGGCGGACAAGGGAGGGGAGGGGAGGGGAATGTGTGTCTGTAACAAGGCTGGGTGTGGGGTGGGTAAAAAGCATGGAAGGATGGAATTGGGCTCTAAAGTTATTGAACTCAGCATTGATCCACACTCAGTGCTGTGCCCCATCATATGCATACTCTTGGACTTCTTTCCTGCGAGCACTACCTCATGCTGTCTCAGAGCTGTCCTGCCCCCAGTTCTGCTTCATTCTCTGGCTCATTTGACATTCTGACACAAGGAACTATTTCTCTTCCTTTTCAGGCATTAAGAAACGCAAGCTGCAACAACTCAGAGATTTCCACAGCCCTCTTGAACCTCAATCCCCTCCCCTCCCCTTCCCTCTGACTACATCCTTTCTCCTGACCCCCACCTCTTGTCAAGTATTTCTTCTGACCTTCCGCTCTCTGATGCTGAACATTCTGTGCTCAGCCAAGGTCTTAGTTTTAGCCCTCTGAACCCCCAGCTCAATCAATTTTGGACACGATGTTAAACTCTTCTTCCATTGCTTCCACTTCCCTGCCTGCTTCTTTTGACAGGAGTCCTTTCACTGTCCCACAGATCCCTTCACCCACCTCCAGCAATTTCCCCCACCTGGAACCTTTCCTCCAGCCTTTCACCTGTACTCACTCAGTTTGTTGAGAACTGGCGACGTGGCATTGGTTGCCTTCATTTATCCATTCGAACCTATCTCACACTGAACTGACTGCAGTACATGCTTTCAGATCTAGTCCTGACTTTGTCATCAAGCCTGCTGATGAGGGTGGTGCTGTTGTTGTCTGACAGCCTGACCTCTATGTTGCAGAGGCCAAGCACCAGCCCTTGGACACCTTCTCCTATCTCCCCAGAACACGACTCCACAGTTGAGCATCAGGCCGTTGTCTTCACAACCATCTCATCTCCCTGTGACAGCCTCCCAGCTCTGAGTCCCCTAATCCTGTACAGCTCGCTTTTACCTCCTTCCCAAAATCCACAAACAGGACTGCTCAGGGAGAACCATTGCTCCTGCATGTTCCTGCCCTACAAAGCTCATTTATTCCTAACTCTCTGCCATTTATTTTCTCCCAGTGTTTAGTCCCTCCCAGCTTAAATCTGTCAACCTTCTGCTGCTTTGTGTCATCCTCAGAATTTCCAGTTCGTGGGCTCCAACCCCACCTCTTCAGCATGGGAGTGCAATCCCTTTACACGTAGGTCCTCCAACGGGATGGTCTCATGGCTCCCACCCTCTTCTGTCCTAGGTTTGAACAGCTTCTCTTTTGACCTGAAGAAAGTAGGAGGAGTTAAAGGTACCAACATGGGCCCTCGTCAAGTCTTTTTTTTTTGTGTGGGACAATTGGAATGTTCCTTGTTCCAATCGAACTCTGCACCATCACCACCACCACCACCACCCCTGAAAAAAAAGCCATGAACAGCCCACCTCCTGCATTTCTGCCCTGATCCCTTCTCTCTCCTCCCACAACACCAATAGGATCCATCTCATAGTCCTCACTTATCACCCCACCAGCCTCCGGCATGAAGCCACCACCAAGACATGTATTGCCCTCCCCTCCCTTGTCAGCATTCCACATGGGCTGTTCCCGCTGATACAGCTTGATCCCATCTGACGAAGAATTGCTGAACTTGAAGGGTTAACTCTGCTTTCTTTCCACGCATGCTGCCAGACCTGCTGACTTTTGCCAGCACTTTCCGTTTTTGAACTGAAGTTCAGCAACAGGCTTGTGTATTTGTTCGTGGGGCCATATTTACATTAAGATTGGTATAATGCAAGTGATTTTTTCCTGAATGCTAAATGCCGAGCGTGCAATGGACGCCTGGAGTTGGGTTTCAACCCTGATGTAAGAAACTGAATACACTGTACAGCATGTACGTGCAGTGTGGAATCTAACCTGACTTTAAAAGAAGTGCTTAGATTCTCCTTGCCTCTTTTCAGTTCCCATTGCTGAACTGTTTGGGGAACAGGTGTATTCTCTTTCCCTCCCCCTCAGCAGAGAGCTCCTGTGGACATGTGTATTCATTGCATACAGAGCAGTGTTGCTGGAGATTGTGGCAATGTAAACGTTTTTTCTGGATGGCTAAAAGCCAAACTGCAGCTGCTTTTCTTGGAGTGATGGACAGATCCTGCCATGTCCATGCATACTGTAACCCAGGTTAAGACACTGGCTTGTCAGCAGCTGAAATACCAGTGAAATATTTTAATCTTAGCCAACTATTTAGTGTGCTGTTGATACATGATCAACACTTTATCGAGTGCAATGGACCACCAGTAGATAGATCCTGAACTGCGGAATAACTGGGTGATGTTCTTCCATTAGTCAAGTAGTTATGCATTGCATGCTTGACCTGTTTTGATGGAGTCCAATTCAAAGCTGCTGCGTACTTGACTTAGTTAAGCCTGTATGTTTCCGCATCTCTGAATTCAAAGCTGTTTTCCGTCAATGCAAGGTGTTTGAGACAACTGCCCTGCTTGCAGTGTGCTGCTCCTCATTTAGTGGATGAGTTATGGTACCTTTTGAAGTGCATTTATGAAAATGAGGACTAGCCCGACAGTCATCACATCAGTGATTCATCCAATTTAGCAGACGTGATTGAATCAGATTGAAAAATTGGTCTTCAATGAGAGGCTCCTTGTTTTTCTGTAACTTCGGCGTTAATTACTGCTATACAAAATAATGATTGAATCATTGTAGTTATGACTAACATCATGCAAGGTTCTTGACACACTGCCTAAGTTCTATTTAAATTCCTTTCAGCTGACTGTTATTTGAAAAGCAAATGTCAAAAACAAACTGTTGCTCGAGTTTTTGTCACAAATTGTTTGCATTTTAGGGAAGGTTTCTTGCTGCTTTTTCCCCCCTGACTGCTGACTCCCCACCAGCCTTGTGGCTCAGTTTATTGATGATGATGGCCAGGGTCAGAGGGCCAGCTAGATTTAGCTCATGGATCATTTTTATTATATGATTAGTGCGATCAATAGCCATTTCTTTTTAGTTGTGGCATTGTTTAATTAGGTCTGTAAGAAGTGCAGCTGAAGCATGCTTGTGCATTAGACAAAATAGTTCTTCAATTATTTGCTTCACTCCAGTGACATGAAAGTTGCAACACAAATGTTCCGTAGCAAACACTTTCTTAAATTACAATTCAATAAGTACTCCTAAGTAAGTTGTAATTACAAAATTAATGATCAAAGAAATGTGTCATATTTATCAAATGATGCCGGGAAGGAAAAAGGCAAATGCTGGTATAAATCAGTAGTCCACTCTTAGCAAAAGTCGAAGACAAGCTGCTGGATGGCTACCTGCTGGTAGTTTGGGGTGGGCAGTACTTCAACATGCATTAAAGGCAACACAGTAGTTTTATTTTTAACTTTCTTTTTGTCCTCTGCAGCTTGTTGCTATCTTTGAAGAACAAGAACCACACCATGGTGGTGATGGTACAAGTGCCAGTTCAACTGGTACTCAAAGCCCAGAGATATTCGGCAGTGAGCCTGCACCGAACACCTTGTCTGCGTTCCAACCCTATCAAACGTCAAGTGAAATTGAGGTCACGCCATCCGTCCTTCGATCAAGTAAGTACTTTTATGTGCTGGTTCACTTGTGAAATGAAACTTTTGGGCCTGCACGTTCGTATATTCTTTGACAATTTGTTTGGCTCACCCTTTGAAGCTTTGAGTTGCTTTCGTTTTGAACACTTCTGCCTCCTTTCTTGAAATTTACTCATTTGAACCATATTGTTGGATGTGTTCCTCTGATATCTGAAAGCAAATCTAGTTTAGATTTCTGCTCATAATCTGCCATATGTTTTTTTGTTGGGATATGCACATATGGATGTCGGACATCAAGTATCTGTGAAATAGTGACCACAAGTAGAAAGCTTTAGGTGAAAGGCTGGTAAGAAGAAATAAAGTAGGAAAACACAGTTTTAAAAGCAGAGCAGAGAAATGTCGTTTGCAATAGAATGCTTGCCCTAATACAATAACTTCATTTAATACTCAGAAGCAGCCCAATGTAGAGAAATAAAGTCATGAGATGTGATTTTTAAGAAAAAAATTTTGAACGTGAAGAACATTTTGGTACCGCTTCTATTAAATCTCCCTGTGTATAAATGGAGCAATATTCTCTCCTAGATGACCAGAATATTGCAAAGAGCCAAATAAATCTGTTGCACAAATTCATCACATATATGCACAAAAAATTTCCTCTTTACATTTACTAATGTCCCACCCCCACCTTTTTAATATATCCTAAAGTGTGATAGTCTAACTATGAATAATTCACTATAAAAATAACTATATAGACAAGCCCAAAGCATGACTTCAGAATCTGAGTTATAAAGAATTCCTGGGAGTATCAAAAAGCCTTTATTCCTGAAATATCTGACTATTGCTCCGATTTGTTAATCCATTTACATGAATTTATGGAGGGAAAAAATCATGCCGATGAAGAAAATCATCTGACTCTAGGGTTTGGCTATGGGACTGCTGCAGTTAGTACTTCAATTTGCCTAATGGCTAATTAGCCCAAATGGCTTAACTTATTATTGCTACTAGCACATTTCCTGTGACATTTATCATAGCTTCTGTAATGATTGCAATGTTATGCCTGCAATACACCAAGTATTTTGTACTTATGTGACCCATGTTTGACACAACCTGTGTCTTTAAGGCAGCAAAGTTTAAAAAAACATTAAATGACGCCAATCAGATGGCATTAATTTCGTACTGCCATAATAACTGGCATTACTATTGCAATAGTAATTGCACCAATATTTGGTTTCATGAAATGAATTATAGGTTGCCAAATGTTTATTAAGTTAAGGTTCAAGGACCTTCTGAGAATTCCCTTGACTGCCAAATTTTATTGACAAATGTACTGAATTTACTCCGTTTGATATCATGCATACCTCAGGTGTTTTGGAATGAGATCCGAGTTGTATGGACTGGTGTCAATAGTTCTACAAAACCTTCATGTTTCAACCTGTGGGCAGAATTCAATATTTGTGATCATAAGATAGTTCATGATTAATCCAGTGAGGAAATAGAAAGCATTATCTAAAGCATTCAACCAACAGGAAGGTCTTTGGAATAGAAATACTGAGGCCATGAAGGTAGAATGTGGAACTTGCTGGAAAAAGGAATCACTGAGGTAGGTAGCATTGAAGCAGTCAAAAGGAAGCTAGGTACATGTCTGTGGGAGAAAGGAAGGATGCAGTAAAAATATTAGATGGTATAGAGTGGAAAAATGTCCTGCCAATCAGTATGGTAGAGATCTGTTGGGCTGAATGGCCTGATTCACTGTTGTAATTGTTATGCGATCCAAATCCTATGTGGTGACAAATTGTTAACCTCGATTTTATATTTTTAATCGTAGCTCACTCTTAAATTATTGCCTCCGTATTTGTAGTTTGAAGATCTTTCTGTTGATTGAATACTTCTTCATGTGATACAGCATAATTTTATTATTGAGCATTTGCTGTTGATGACATGTAATTCTGTAATTATGACCCATAATTATTATGTCTGCCTGGGGCAATTGACTATTAGTTGTACTAAGACTTGGAAAATTGTGACAACTGATGTAATTTTTTGCTAATTGCTGCGGTACCCATGTACTTATTATGAATACTGTATTGTGCTTGTAGAAACTAAAAACCACTGCTGACTGATTCCTCCCCAGATAGTTTGAAATAATGCCTTGAAATTGAATTAGTTTGGTCACGTGCTTAAATTGCATATTTGAATTCTGTGCGTTGGAACCTTAACTGCTGCTCTTGGCTATTACCAACATGGCAAATAGAATTAAAGATTTCAAGTATGTGAACAATTAATTCATTCCCAGACACAGTTTTGAAGTGTAGACATCTCAGGCAGCAACTTTGCCTCTGTTGTATGACCATATGTGATTTATTTTTTGGATAAGATCTGCAAAGGAAAATAGATGTCTGACTAACATTTCTGATCCCACAGCGTGAATTAAAGGTGCTACCATAATAACTGGTATTGCTGTAACAATGGTGATTATCACATTCCTTCTGCTCAGAAGTAATGTTTTGTTCGTCATTGAAAGAAAGTGTGCACGAATTGAAACCATGTTCCCACAATTTTAAAGGTCCTCAATGTTCGTTCCTGATTTAAAATTCTCCTCAATGCTTTGCAGTGACAGTGTAGTGGCAGAAGGGAGACAACAACCAAGCGCTATTAGAAATTCAGCTAATGCCTGGGGACCCGGGTTCAAAATCCGCCATGGCAAATGGTTTAAAAAAAAAAAAAAAAATCTGGAACTACGAATCTACTGGTGACTATGAAACAATTGTCAATTGTCAGAAAAACCTTTCTGGTTCACTGATGCCCTTAAGGGAAGGAGATATGCCGTTGTCGTCTGGTCTGGCTTGCACGTAAGTCCAGATTCACAACAATATGCTTAATTCTCAACTACTGTCTGAAATTGTCTAGTAAGCCACTCAGTAGTATCAATCGTGACAGAGTCTCAATAAAGTAATGAAATTTGACAGACATTCAACATCAAACTAGGCACTGGAACTGACAATGGCAAAGACAGCCCTGTTGACCCTGCAAAGTTCTCCTTACTAACATCTGGGGCTACTGCCATAACTGGAAGAGCTACCTCACAGACTAGTCAAACAACAGACCGTTATATTCAGAGTTATACCTTATAGATAATGTCCCAACCATGACAATTATTATTTCTGCCTATGTCCTGTATCCGCCTGAAGTAGTGGCACAGTCCTATACATTGGGAGAGAGTTGCCTTAGGAGTCTTCAACATTGACTGTGGACCCCATGAAGTCTCATGGCTTCAGGTAAAACATGAACAAGGAAACCTCCTGCTGGTTGCTGCATACCGCCCTCCCTCAGCTGATGAACTGGCACTCCTCCACGTTGAACAACCCTTGGAGGAAGCACCGAGGATGGCAATGGTTTTAAATGTACTCTTGGTGGGGGATATCAACGTCCGCCACAATCAGTGGCTCGGCAGCGGCATTCTCCTTCAGCTGGTTGGGTCTAAAGGACCCATTCTTACCAATGTGCCAGCTGCAGATATGGCTGTCCATGACAGTTTTGGCAAGAGTGACGGTGGGCACGTTGTTGGAGGGAATCCCGAGGGACAAGATTTACATGTATTTAGAAAGGCAAGGACTGATTAGGGGTAGTCAACTTGGCTTTGTGCGTGGGAATCATGTTTCACTAACTTGACTGAGTTTTTTTGAAGAAGTAACAAAGAGGATTGATGAGGGCAGAGCGGTGGACATGATCTACATGGACTTCAGTAAGGCATTTGTCAAGGTTCCTCATGATAGACTGCGTAGCAAGGTTAGATCACAGGGATAACTATTCATTTGGATACAGAACTGCCTCAAAGGTAGAAGATAGAGGGTGGTGGTGCGGGGTTGTTTTTCAGACTGGAGGCCTCTGACCACGGTGTACCAGAGGATTGGTGCTGGGTCCACTGCTTTTTGTCATTTATATAAATGATTTGGATGTGAACATAAGGGGTGTAGTTAATATGTTTGAAGTTCACACCAAAATTGGAGGTGTAGTGGACAGTGAAGAAAGTTACCTCCGAGTACAGTGGGATTATGATCAGATAGGCCAATGGGCAGACGGAATTTAATTTAGATAAATGTGAAGTGCTGCATTTTAGTAAGGCAAATCCGGGTAGGACTTATACACCTAATGTTAAGGTTGTGAGGAGTGTTGCTGAAGAAAGAGACCGTGGAGAGCTGGTTCATAGTTCCTTGAACTGGGGAGTCCCAGGGAGATAGGATACTGAAGGCAGTGTTTTGTATACTTGGCTTTATTGGTCAGTGCATTAAGTATAGAAGTTAGGAGGTCGTGTTGTGGCTGTGCAGGACATTGGTTAGGCCACTTTTGGAATACTGTATGCAGTTCTGGTCTCCCTGCTATAGGAAGGTTGTTGTGAAACTTGAAAGGGTTCAGAAAAGATTTACAAGGATGTTACCAGGGTTGGAAGGTTTGAACAATAGGGTGGGAGAATCCAAAACTAGAGGGAAAGATTTAAAAGGATCCTAAGGGGCAACTTTTTCCTGCAGAGGCTGATGTGTTTATGGAATGACCTGCCAGGGGAAGTGGTAGAGGCTGGTACAATTACAACATTTCACTGACATCTGGATGGATATATGAATAGGAACAGTTTAGAAGGATATGGGCCAAATGCTGGCAAACTGGACTAGATTTATTTAGGGTATCTGGTCGGAATGGACGAGTTGGACCAAAGGGTCTGTTTGCATGCTGTACAACTCTATGACTATGACCGCCACATAGTCCTTGTGGATGCAAAGTCCTGCCTTCACATTGAAAATACCTTCCATGTTCTTGTATGACATTATCACTGTGCAAAATGGGACAGACTTTGAACACATCTTGCAACTGAAGCCTGGGTATCCATGAGGCGCTGTGGGCCATCAACAGCAAAAAATTGTATTCCAACACAATCTGCAACCTCATGATCCAGCATATTCCCTTACGCAGTGATCACCGTCAGGCTAGGGAATCGACCCTGGTTCAATGAAGAGTACAGGAAGGCATGC